AACCTATGATCATAATATCAAAGGAAGAGGAAAAAAGCTTATAACTAAAGACTTTTTAAAAACTAATTTAAGAGTACTTATATAAAAAAAGAATTTAAAAAGAGGATCTTAATGAAGTTTCTATCAAGAGTCTAGGAAAAATATAAAAATGACGATTTATTTCACACAAGTCGGCAGGAATGTTGAAATTAGAAACTCTATTTTAAACAATATGATACGAATTTAGATATCTATTTTAAGGTTAGGTCTTTCTCAAAATGTTCAAGTATGATGAAATTTTGAATACTTCCGCATTCAGTGTTTTTACGTAAACACAAAAACATAGACCAATGTTAATAAATAAATAAGTCTTTATTTCTAACGAAGACTGGCTGAACACACACACACACACACACACACACACACACACACACACACACACACACACAAGTGCATATTTTATTATGAGAATATTTTATCATATACAAATATAACAGTCTACATAATATAGCGTCTCCGAAAAAATTTGATTTAAATTTTTAGTAAAACTTAATTTTATTAATTATATTTTATGGAAAGGAGATGCAGCTAACCTAACCTAACCTAACCTGCAATTTCAACTTACTGAAAGCAGCCATATTCTTGATTGAAAATCGACGCATGCGCACTAAAAATTGGTGACCATATAAAAAGTTCAGTGTCTATACTGTATATACTTATACTATGATTATACATGCTTCCATCATGAGTTTACTCTCTCTTTTATGTTTTAAACACAGTCATAAGAAATCGAAGCCATTTCTTGAAAAAAAGAGCTGATCGTTGATGTAAAGTGATCAATGGCGTGATGATTTTACATGGTTTGTCGTCATGCAGGAATTGATAAACTAACATTGTGAAAAACTGTAAGTACAATTTGTTTATTATTCTAATATCTGCCACTAGTTATATGCATGTATGTATACTTCCGTGCGATCAGACATGTTTCCGGGAATAGAAATTCTATTTGAAATAATTGATTTGTGACATATAGCGCTGAACTTTAGAATTGAGGATTTAATCTAAAATACTTTACCGTGTTTACATACAGAAAAAATCAATTTATATCAGGGATAATTGATTGACATTGTTATCCCATTTTCTTGTGTTTTAATTCAGAAATAGTCGCAATCATGTCTATTCCACCATATTTGTTGAACCCAAATCCATGGGCCACGATGATGGCCCAGCAACAAGCCCAGATAGCAGCTCAAGTACATGCCCAGGCTGCTGCGGCTCATGCTCAAGCTGCTCATCATGCTCATATGCAGGCTATAGCTGGACCACCATTACCTCAGATGCCTAAACAACCAGAAGTCTTATCTGAAGATAAACTTCAGGAAAAAGGTAACGTTTATTACCAACTGTTGTTTTATATATTGCATTTTTGCAATGATAATCTTATTTGCTCTAGCACAAAAATGGCAGCAATTACAATCAAAACGATTTGCGGAGAAGAGAAAGTTTGGCTTTGTAGATGCTCAGAAAGAAGATATGCCGGCTGAGCATATAAGAAAGATTATCAGAGATCATGGTGATATGAGCAGTAGAAAGTATCGTCATGATAAACGTGTTTACTTGGGGTAAGATATATTATAGAAAGCTGTATGTAGAATCCTATATTATAAGAGAAGCACAAATAGTATTCGCTTGCTGATTGATGAGCGATTGTCAATCAAAACTGAGAATATTGGGTCCGCAGCTGATTGTAACAAAGCAGCTGTATTTAGGGATTCTATCAGATTCTGAAGTTTAGTTTGAAGGCTCTCCTGAAGAAAGTGTCAAGT